CCAGGTGCTTCATGTGGGCAGCACCACCGTGCCTGGGCTGGGGGGCTGGAGCAGGGTGATGCTGGGGGCCAAGGACACCCCAATGCCTGCCTGTCTCCCTCTGCTGGGACTGACAGCCCTGTGGTGTCTCTTCCCACTTCGGGTAAGGAATGACCATGGCGACTTGCGATCTGTCTCCTCGTCTACTATCTGCTTGACTAAATGGGCTAGCGCAGCTCTACGATTCTGAAGTAGAACTCAGGTCTGGATTCCGTTTCCACACCACAGGCAGCAGTGGGAAGAAGATAGGTTCAGAACCCTCTTCTTCATCCGCTGTGTGTGGCCTGGGCAAGCCAGTCTGCCACAGCCAGCCGTCCCTGTCCTGGTTTGCAAAATAGAGGCACAGCGACCACACCGCTGCAGTCTGGACAGGAGAGCAAGGAAGCATGGGTACTGGCACCCGTTCTGGAACCTTCTGGCAACAACAGCTCCTCCCGTGCACCTCTGTGTGCGGAGAGCTCCAGGGGTGTGAGGGGTTTTATTCTGGAATGATCAACACACCTGCATTACAGAACAGGAAAATGAAGCCCAGGGTGCTACTTCTTACTGATTCAGGGAGGGGCTGACAGCTGGTCCAAACAGCCTGGCTTCACAGACAGGGTGGGCACCTGCCCCTGAGCCAGGGCTGGTCAGTGCCAGGGCCCCTGCAAAAGGCCCACCTCCCACTCAAGGGCACGTCCACGCAGAGCAGATGGGACACGCAGCTCAGCCCTGCGCCTCCCAGAGTCATCACAGAGCGCTACTCACCCTCCATCCGACCCAGGAGAAGTGTGGAGGGGGAGCGGCGCCAGGGACCACGGCCGCCACAGGAGACACCTTTCCGAGGGCATGGGAAGGGACCAGCCTGTCCCAGCTTTGCTCAGCTGGCTGGCAGGTGGGCACTCCACACCCCAAGGTTCTCTTTCTGGGGGACAGAAGGACCAGACAGCTTGTCCCAGACTGCCCATCAAAGGGCCGCCCACGGCAGAGCACAGTGGGGAAAACAGGCTCGTTCTGCCCATTTGCTTTAAAACTCACAAGTTCCCCTTCTGCCCCCCCTCCCCTGGGAGGCCTGGGGGAGGTGCCCCTTGCCAAGCCTGGCTGATCTCTTGGGGTCTCAGGAAGGAAGCAGGGGGGGTATCTCAGGACGTTCCTGGCATGGGGAAGCATGCAGGACAGGGGCCAAAGCCTCAACCCACAGCCCAGCTCCAAGGCTGCACCTGGAGAGCTCAGGGAGGCTTGGTCTACCCAGAGCCCAGTGCAGGCCGCACCTGAGCGCCGTGACCACAGGGGGCAGGTGAGGGGTGCTCACCAGGCTGGCAGCACGGGGCTCACGCCGCATCCACACGTGGCAGCCCTCGAATTCTTTACTCTTTTTTTTCTTTGTCGGTCATGGGGCCTGAACTCTGGGCCTGGGTGCTGTCCCTCAGCTCTTCAGCTCAAGGCTAGCGCTCTACCACTTGAGCCACAGCATGCCACCTCCAGCTTTTTCTGCTTATGTGGTATTGAGGAATCAAACCCAGGGCCTCATGTATGTAAGGCAAGCGCTCTACCACTGAGCCACCTTCCCAGCCCCGAATTCTTTACTCTTTTATCCCTTTCTAGATTGCTACCTTTTGTCAGGGAGGAGACCAGCATCGGCAAGAAGATTTTACAACTGCATGTGTCTGTGTGTGCCTGTGCGGGCGTGCGGGCATGCATGCCTGGAACACTGGCGCTCTTGACAAGCACCATTACTCTCAGGTAAGAAACAAGGCGCTGGGACCCTGAGAGGTAAATTATTGGGTCAGTTTGCCCTCTCTGGTTAGTGCAGCAACAAGCACGTGGGCTTTGGATCCAAGTTTTATTGATGAGGTCTCCACATGATGCTTGGGCACCAGCGCTCTCTATATCCTACAGGTGTGTGTGTGTGTGTGTGTGTGTGTGTGTGTGTGTGTGTGTACTGGGACAGTCAACACCACAGGTCAGCTGTGAGCTAGACAGAGTGTGAGCTGGGAAGCTCTGAGGGGGGCCCTGGGGTCGCGGGTGTCCCTCCAATTGAGAAGAGGGTGCTCCGAGTACCACAGTGCAAGGCGGGGGTTCCCTCCCACCGCAGGGCATCTCCTGGGTCTGACCCAGGCTCTGCTGTCCACTGCCAGGACCCTGGAATACCAGCAGGCAAACCTGAGACCCGGCTGGCCTGCTGTCCGCCGGCGCCCAGGCCCCCGGGGCCGCCTTCCTGGGCCTCCTCAAGCTGACCATGCGCAGGGCCGGTGGGGACCAGACTCTGTTCCCTGCCAGCGCCTGCCTTCCCAACACCTCTGCCTGAAACGCGGGGTGACAGCCCCGAGCTGCGGGGTGCATCGCATCCCTCTGCCCAGCAAGGACTTCCTTGCAGCTGCATTTCTCCAGCTCTGGAACGTTCTTTCAATCCCCGCGGTGCTCCTGGAAGAGGACCTGGAACAATGATCCCCATTCTGTGACTGAGAAAACAGAGTCTAAGGCCAGCGACAGCGACAGCAAGCGACCACATCGCACGCTCAGCCGGCCGGAGAGACCAGGGCTCCAAGTCAACGCCAGCCTGTGTCTGGGCGATGGTCCCCTTGGATGGCTCAGGAGGCCTGGCTTTTCCTCCATACCTGGGTCTGTGACGGCCAGTTCAGAGACCTAAGGCAAGGGTTGCTGGCTCCCCAGGCTGGTCAATACTGCCTGGACAGGCCTCCATCGGAGCTTCGTGCCTTCCCCATTCCCCAGAGCTCAGTGGGTGAGGGAGCAGCGCAGGTCACTCGGTCTCTGCTGGGGAAGACAGTCCCTGCTTTGGGCCCTCAGCCAGGAAGCGCGCAGAGCCCTGCGCCTTGGCTCTGCCAGGCAAGATGAAAGGAAAACGTCCTGGGCCATGCCCATCTCCGCTAACGGCTCAGCCTCTTCCAGCCCTGGCCGTGCCTGCCCGCCCCCAGGGAACCTGCAGCAGCTGCTGGGTTGCTGCTTAGGGCAGACCAGGAGCAAAATCAACATGACTGAAGGAGAGGGATCAGCGCAGAGCGTTGGTTAGGGAACGCAGACAGGATGGAGGCAAACATTCTGAATGTTTACATCCAGGGAACTAACGGAAGAGTGAGTCAAGCCAAGAACTCTGAAGTCTGGCGATGGGGCGAGGGGTCAGGGGCGCCTGCACCGCTGTGAAGGGTGAACATGGGGTCACTGGGCACACACTGGGCCTGTGTGACACAGGTGGAGGCCCCGGTGCCCCATTGGCTGCCCATAGGCCCGGGGCGGGGGATGGGGGGTGGCGGGGGAGAGGCCACGGCAGGGCTGGACCCACAGCCCAGGCACCCGGGTTCTGGGAACCACGCTCTTTATAAGAAAGTCGCAGGAGCTCACAGACCAGTGGTCAGGCGGAATTGCTTCTGATGATTCTTTCCAGCTGAATGAGATTCAGTTAATGGAAGACTTAATAAGGCTTTCTGAGCCCGAGGTGAAGGCCAAGCTGCAGCTCCCGGAAATGAGTTTTTGGCTCGGGAGCTGCAGGTCTGTGTGGGGAGAGGTGAGAAGGGCCGGAAGCCCGGCAGGCACAGCCCATCCCCGAGCGCCGCCGTGCGGAGAATCAATCCTGCCAATCCGAGTGCCCGCAGGAGGCCGGGGCCTGGGGACAGGAGGGCTGCACTGAATATAGACCCTGGGGTCTGACAGCCAGGTACGGCCGGCCAGCAGAACAGACTGGGCTGCACACATAGAGAAGGAGCCCAGAGGACGGGACAGGAGTCTGGGCCTGACTGAGATTCCAGTTGGAAGATCTGCTGGCCTCTGCCGCCCTGTGGCCCAGCCTTCACCTGCGGGGCCTCCATCCCCAGGCTCAGCATCAGCCTCCAGGGTACCTTGGTGTATTTTCTTACAACTTGGGAATCTGGTTTCCCTCTGATTTGATTATGAGCCACAAAGGGTGCACTGTAGCGTGCTGGACACACCCAGCTTTACTTAAAAAAATGTGCAGAGAGAATAACCACAAAGCTATTTTAAAGGTTGCCACGAAGTGCAGTGTGCAGAAAACTAAAGATGAAAAACAAGCCACATCCGGCTCTGTCTTTCTTCTGTCCCACCCAACTGTCTCGTTCTGTTTTCTTGCTGTACAACTCCTTCAACTACCACCATCACCACAGTCCTACTGACATGGAGGTAACAGACAGAGGAGAGTACTGAGCAGTAGCCATGTTGGGGAGTGGGCACCGAGGAGAGGCAAATACAGAAACACATCCTCTGTCTCAGGACCTTTGCATGTGCTGTTCCCACCATAGGAATGTCCTTACTCCAGAATCTGTAATACCTGTTCCTTCATGCCTCCTCTCCTGTCAGTCTCCCCTGCTGGAAGTGTCAGAAAGTAAGTGATAGTGGCTTGAGAGCCAGCCAAGCACTCACAGCCCAAAGAACGAAGGTTCCTTCAGGCATGTGTGTTGCACACGGTGCGGAGGTCTTGTATGCATCTGGCCTGAGTCCCATAGAAAACTGATGGTAATAATAATAATAGCAATGGCAAACTTCCACAGGACAGTGCCAGCGGCCTGTGATCGTGGGGCCCAGAGCGGGAGGCTCTCTGCTCTGCTCTCCTCCTCTCCGACCTGACCCTAGCCAGTTAGATCAGGAGGGAAGGATGCACTGAGCCACTGGACTTCCTCTGTCTTGCAAAAACAATGTAACCAAAAATACTACAGACCACACTACGCAACTGTGCACTGCTCAGGGGCGTCACTGGGGGGGGGTGGGGTTGCGGCCGGCCCTAGAGTGAGCCCAGGCTCTGCTTCCTAGACAGCCTGCCCCTCAGAAGGACTTCCTTGGAGACAGCCGCCATCCGTCAAACATCTCATCACTGAACCTAGAGTGCTGGGGCTCTGGGTTTGTCTGCTCAGAGAAGCAAGAGTCCTCTGCTGAAGATCACCACACATAGAAACAGCCCTGCTGGGGCGTCCATCTTCCCAAGCCCCCCGGAAGGAAAAGAACCTAGGGCTTACCTGCTGGGTGACCTCAGCGGGGTTACTTCGCCTCTCTGAGCCTCTGTTTCTTCATCTGAAAGACAGAAATGCTCAGACTGACCACCAGGAGAGGACATGCAGAGGGCCTGCCACGGGCTCAGCCCAGCCGTAAGTAAACACTAACTGCGCGTGCTGAGTGACTGGGCCCGTCCGCTGCCCGGCGTGGGAATGGAGGCGACCTGCGTGTGCAAACTTCCTGTCACAACCATGAAGAGAAAGCTGTGCACGCAGCACGCCTCAGACCACTTCCGGCGCCCAGAGACTGGCGTCCCAGAGAGCTGGAGAGCGCGCCCAGAGCTCGCCGGGACGGGGAGGAAGCAGTCCCCGCTGCAGGAGCTTGAGGAGGGCTGGCTGGCTGGCGGAAGCGGGCCGGGGTCTGTGTGCTGCGCGGCTAGGCGGGTCCCGAGTCCCACCGCCCCAGGAAGGGCAGGAAGGACAGAAAGCACTGCGCAGACAGAGCCCGGCTCACGGGCCCACGGCCGCCGCGGGGCTGGTGGCTGGTGGAGGTCATGCTGGAGCAGGGAAGGGCAGGGGCTTTGCTTCTAGAGCATGCTTCTAAGAGGCAGGACACAAACACGTCGTGGGTAAGAGAGGATGTGGATCTGGAAATTGGGTGAGGTTGGTTGCTGGGTCTCATCTGAGGTCCCATACGCAGTGAGAACCTGGGTGACGACTCCCCGTGTCCCTGCCAGGTGACACCTCTCGTCATCACCATCATCACCCCCATCGCCTCCTCCCCCACACGACCTCCCTCAGCCAGAGACAATGTGTGGAGCAGCGCTGGTCCCCAGCTGCAGTTAACCCAGCTGGCGCACTTGCGGAGGAACGAGATTGGCTGGTCACGACCCAGCTTTGGGGAGTGTTTGTTACACAGCGAGGCTGGCAGACCAATGGGAGGAGCCTTTTCAAGCATCTGTTTCCTGCTAGCAGACATCTGAGGGGTAAGACCCCAGCTGTGGGGCAGAAGGCCTGCCCCCGGCCTGGGCTCTGCCATGACCTCTTCACTGCTCTGACCCCACCTCCCCCGCTTCTCCTCCTGCATGCTGGGGATGGGAAGTGGCCCATCGCACGCGGTCACGAGGCCGGAGAGATGAGAGACGTCGACGTCCCCACCACAGCTCTCCTAACGGTTCTTCCTGACAGGGCACAGGCTCAGTTCGCTGTGTCTGCCTGGATTCCAAGCAGGTGCTGCCCGGCAGTCAGTGCACCCTGACAGCAGGGGCCCTTGGTGCTGGGCCGGGGCTGGGGGCTCTCCTTGCTCAGGAAGGCAGCAGGAAGCGGGAAGCAGGCTGGGAGGAGTCAAAGGGAGCACTGTGCTTGGGAGGGGAAAGCTACCCACCCGCCGCCCACGGCAGGCACAGACACGCAGGCCAGAAGGGAAGAAGGGAAGGCTCGTGGTGCTCTCCTTCCTCCACTTTCACTGCCTAGAGGAGGGGCTGAGGCTAGCCCAAACTCCCGCACCGGGCTAGCCTTGGAGCCTGGGAGGAGAACCGGCTGGGGCCACTTGTCCCTGCCTCCCACGAGCACACCCTCCGCGCGGCCTGGGAGGCCAGGGCCAGAGCCAGGCGGACTTTGCCAGAACCTTGTGTCGAGCTCTTCTTTGAGTCACTTGGAAACATCTGTGTTCCTTTTCTGGGAAAGTCTAGCTTTCGCTCCCCAGAGGCCGGGGTCCGGTGTGGGGGGCGACCTGGGAACCGGGAAGCCAAGGGGGGGCACAGAATGGCGGGAAAGGGGGGGGGGTGGACGGGCTCTGGTTTGGATCACGGCCTGGTCTGATGGTGAAGGTCACATGAAGGCCCAAGGCCAGCTCCCAGGGCCGAGCGAGGGCAAGGCCAGGGTGGCTAAGTGGAGGAGGTAGGGGGTGGCTGGCAGGGAAGGTGGGAAGATGGCGAAGACACGGGACACCGGGGCGGACGGGCTCGGGGCCCACAGGCCGCTCGAGGAATGTATTCTCGTCTTGGAGAGAAGCAGGCAGCCATGAATAGGAGAATCCAGGGACTGGGCGAGGCTCGGTTTCCCCATCTGACTGAACCCCAGACCCCCAGGGGAAGCGACGTGTGCACCGGGGCTGTGACTCCCTCCCATGTGTCTTCTGAGGCCTGTGGCCTGGCCTGGCCTCTAGAGAGGTGAAGAGACAGGGCCTCTCCCACTGAGGGCCCAGGCTGGCTGGGGTCGGGTATAACCCCCTCCCCCAGTCTCCTCCCCTCTGCATGGCCATCCATAAAACAACCCCACAGAACTCAGCTGCCTGGGGTAGCTTGACCCGGCCAAGGAAATGCAAACCTGACACCCGCCTCTCCAGCTGGGCTTCTCCGGGGGTCACTGGAGTAATCTGCTACCCCAGGAAAGTCGGCCGAGGGCTCTTGATTACCAAGCCCTGTCCTCCAAGTTGCTCAGGTTCCCTGCCAAACAGGTCTGCTTCACCCGGAGACCTGACCCCCTGCCCTCCCTCCCTGGCTACCCCCTGGGGCACTGCGGGGTGGCGTGGGACATGGGTCAACTCCAGAGGGGAGCAGGGCGTGTTCTGGCTCAGCAGCTCCTCTGCCCAGCCTCACCCCCTTCCCCGCCTCCTGAAACACCTCCTCAGTCATCCACTGGCCCCGAGCCCTGCCTCTGCTCCCGCAGGGAGGAAACGACACCTCCTTGAGCTGGGCTGAGTGCACCCATCAGGAAATAATGTCACAGAACCTTCCAGGCTGACTCAACTTTTTGTTGTACTTGGGGCTTAAGTCTTGGCTTCACAGGAGAGACCAGAAGCCACAGCCCACTCAGCAAAGAACTACTGGGTCCCAAGCTAGAGAAAACAACAATAAACAAGAGGTGCTATCTTCGAGGGACACCGGCAGCTCACGTGTCCTAGCTACTCAGGAGGCCTAGAGGATCACAGTTCAAAGCCAGCCTATGCAGAAAAGTCAGTGAGACTCTTATCTCTAATAAACTACTCCAAGAAAGCTGGAAGTGGAGCTGTGGCCCAACTGGTAGAACGCCAGCCTTGAGAAAATGAAGCTCAGGAACGGTGCCCAGGCCCAGAGTTGAGGCAAATAAACCAAGTCCCTTCTTATCCCATCCCTTACGCCTGAACTGTGATCCTCCTATTTATGTTCTGTCTCGCTGTGCTGAGAGGCATTCCCATGCTCAGATTTTTCTGGTAAAGTGAGGTCTTTTGAATGTTTTTTTTGGCCTGCCCTTGAATCACAATCCTCTCCCTCTCAGCCTCCCAAGGAGCTGGAGTTACAGCCTTTCTACGGTCTTCAGGCTGCCCGATGTGCTACGTGTAACGGCCTTTTGTCTCTGGTCCAGGGGACACGAAGTTCTGCAGCACTGGCCAGCACGCCCATCTCCTTCGCCGTTCTTTCAAGCTCATAAAAGGACTTGCCTCATGTAGCTGTTTCTAATTAAAATTCAACTTCTGGCTTAAAGCACACTTCTTCAGCTGCACAAATCGATTAACCAATCAGAGCAACTAATTGAATGAGCTAATTTAATTAAAACTATATGTAAAATAAAGGTCCTTCAGGTGCTAGCCAGCCTTGTGGTTAGCAGACATTGATGAAGACCGGGCAGCTGCAGAATAGCCCTGTCCCCAAGAGTTGTATCGATCTGCCAGGGATTACCAGTGCAAAGCTCTGGCCTGACACTGGGGGCTGTGTGGCCTTTAGCAGTGATGGACCCTCTCTGAGCTCTGCGTCCTTACCCATAAGATGAGAACGCAGGGCCCAGCCCTGGAGGGAGAAGGGTCCAGCGAGGGCTGTCCGGCTGGGGCCTGTTGTGTGCTGTGTGGCCCCCAGGGAAGCGGGGCCTGACCTGGTCAGTGCCGAATCCACGGTGCACACAGCACACTAGCGAAGCACAAGGAAGGCCTCCTCGAGTTTTGCAGGTCCAGCCCTTCCATCTGGTCTGGGTCTGTCCTCACCAAGTGCACGTGTGCCAGAAGTGTGTGCACACACACGTGCACATACACATCCGAGAATACACTCTCACAATGTCCTTCAACGGCACTTAGAGCACCGAGTACAGGCTGCTGAAACACATCAGCCCGGCACACACTCAGCACACACTGAGCACACGCTCAGCACATGCTCAGCACACCCACGCTCAGCCCACGCTCAGTACATGCTCAGCCCACACTCAGCACACCCACGCTCAGTCCACACTCAGTCCATGCTCAGCACACCCACGCTCAGTCCACGCTCAGTCCATGCTCAGCACACCCACGCTCAGTCCA